CCTTGAGATACAAGTTCTAAAGTCTCAGTATAGTTACAACGGCTACCCCACCCTTCAAACCGAAACGCATTACTGCTTCACGGCAGAAATAAGCAGGGCGGTGGTACCTATCCGCGCGGACTCACAAGAGGTCCTACCACCAGTAATTACGCAAATTATAATTTTGCGGGTTTGATTTTTATTACACGATGTTATTCCTTCACCGTGGAAGTCAATCGTGAACATTTGTTGAGTACATATTTCATTAGAAAAATTGGTACCCGCCAGCGGGATTCGAACACCGGTGCATCGCTTCAACACGAATGCACCGGACGTCTTATCCTTTAGGCCACGACGACTTCGGGCATTTAAAATTAACATTATTATTTAATGTCATTATTATTAGGGAGTCCAACACTCATATAAATATTAGTCTATCCATTCAGTATATGTATTTTCTTCATGATTACCAAGTTTCAAGTCAATCGGATGCATGGTTCAGTAATTATAATGGAACATCCGTAAATACCACTGTAAATTTATATATTAGTATAGATTGAGACAGAGAGTTTACCTTATGGCACACTAAAGCATAAATAACATTAAATAACAGCCAACGGGCAGGTATAATACCTACCTATTTAATATCTAATATACCTAAAAGCGATCTCCAAACTCCAGAAAGTGATGGTCCAGACAACCATTTTTATCTAGAGATAAGTATAACATTTATGTGAATATTTAACGCCAGTGCATTCATGCATTGTAGGTACGTTTCCTATGTATTATTAACTATCTATGGGCACTGGAAATCACTTAACAGCAGGCGAGCCGTGAGCACGATCTGTCATTGTAATCTATCTATCTATCTCTATATATAAAAATGAATTGCTGTTCGTTAGTCTCGCTAAAACTCGAGAACGGCTGAACCGAATTGGCTAATTTTGGTCTTGAATTATTTGTGGAAGTCCAGAGAAGATTTAAAAGGAGTTTAGATAAATATGAAAATGCTCGGAATTAAATAAAAATAACAATTTTGTTTTTGCCTGGATATGTCCCCCGTCGGTCTTTAATTTGTCGATTGAGGCACTACGAAGTCTGTCGGGTCAGCTAGTTAATATATAAAAAACCCTCTGAAATCAGTTCCGTTTTTAAACCACTTTACTAGTATTTACTACCTATAGGCAAAATAAATTTTTAAAATATCACACAGCATCGAAATCGAACATCATCATTATCATCAACATCAGCCCACACTCGACCACTGTTGGACATAGGCCTCTCCCAATTCACAGCACTAAGCACAGTCTTCGGCTCTCCCCATTCGTTACTTGCCGGCCACCATTCGAAGATCATCTCATTACCTAGATGGGGGGTGTCTCACATTGAAGTCGTCGTGACCTAAAGGATAAGACGTCCGGTGCATCCGTATCTAGCGATGAAACGGCTTCCGAATCCCGCAGGCGGGTGCCAATTTTTCCAACACATACGTACTTAACAAATGCTCACGATTGACTTCCACGGTGAAGGAATAACATCGTGTCATAAAAATCTAATCTGCAGGATTATAATTTGCGTAATTACTGTGTGTCCTCTTGTGAGTCCACACAGACAGGTACCACCACCCCGCCTATTTCTGCCGTGAAGCAGTAATGCGTTTTGGTTTGAAGGGTGGGAAGCTGTTATAACTATATTGAGACCTTAGAACTTATATCTCAAGGTGGGTGGTGCACTTACGTTGTAGATGTCTATGGACTCCGGTAACCACTTAACACTAGGTGGGCTATGAGCTCGTCCGCCCATCTAGTAAAAAAATCGTTACGTTGTCACTGCGGTCTCCACGCGCGTTCTCCATTCAAGAACCTGTCTGCTTCAGCGATCTTCAGTTCTACAGCGTATGTGCCAAGCTCACTGCGACTTCAGCTTGCCGATTCCTTGAGCTGTATCGATAACTTTACTTCTCTGTCATATATTTACAAACTCATAAATTAAAACGACTTTAACCTAATTGAGCCAATCAGTACCCAGTACAGACCGCAATTATGTAGGGCAAAAACCACACAATTATAATGTAGGTAATATTAAGTAGGTATAATGAATAATAATTCACACATACCTACATCATTTTATATTACCCATTTTACTGAAATTGGAAAACCAACACGTGGCTATTATATAATAGGTAAGCAAGTATGTATCGACTACACCAGGTCACGACCACTGAGTTTTTCGTGGGATCTTCTCAGTGGGTCGCGATTCCGATCCGGTGGTAGATTCCGCGAAGCACTGCTCTTATTAGGGCTAGTGTTAGCAAATTCTCTCAGGTTGAGCCCGTGAACTCACTACGCACGCTACCCGTCAGGGCCTAGCTGGAATAGCCTAATAGGCTACCAGAGATATAGGCAGCGGAAAAAAGGGACCAAATGCCATTGAAAAAACCTTAAAAAGTGTTGAAAAATAATAACATTTTGATTTGGTCATTTTATAAGTATTGATCGTGAAATCACTGAATAGAAGTCGTGACCTAAAAGACATGACGCCCGGTGCGTTCGTATCGAGCGATGTGACTATAACTGTTTTCGAATCCCACTGGGTACTACCAATTTTTCTAATGAAAAACATACCTGAGACCCGTTCACTAATGACTTCCACGATGAAAGAATAACATCCTGTAATATAAATGAAGCCTACAAAAATAATAATTTGCAGAATTGTTTGTGGCGAGTCGTCTTGTGAGCCCACAAGGGTAGGTACCACCACCACCCCTCCTATTTCTACGGCGAAGCAGTAATACGTTCCGGCTTGAAAGAGCCTTTGTACTATAGAACTGCGATTTAGAACTCATGCCTCAAGATGATAGACGACGGTAACATTTATGGTGTTAATGTCTATAGATTTTGGTAACCAATTAATAACCAGGTGGATGAATTGCATTTAAGCAAAAAATAACAATAATGAAAACTTAAATCAACAAACGATTTAAAAATGAATTTTCCGCGCCATCTAGCGAATATAGTTTCAACTAATAGCTTTTTTAGGTAGACAACGATTTAGAAATGGAACTACAGAGACAATAGAATTCAACTCCTCACTAAGAGATGGCGCTAATTGTTTGAACTTAAATAATGAAATCAGTTGATCAGAAAAAAGTTTTTGCCTACCAACTGCTAGTTACCTCGAGTATTTACTTTGTCTTACTTTTTTAACTTAACCAAGCTAATCACCGATAGCCTGAAAAGCTATTCCAGCTACACACGGACCGATAGGTGAGCTCACAGGCCCAACTTGAGAGAGACTGCTAACACTGGCACCAACAAGAGCAATGCTTCGCTGAATCTACCACCGGATCAGAATCGCGGCCCACTGAGAACATCTGGTGAGAAACTCAGTGGGTTAAGTCTTTTTTTTTATTTCTTAGATGGGTGGACGAGCTCACAGCCCACCTGGTGTTAAGTGGTTACTGACACTAGACATTTACAACGTAAATGCGCCACCCACTTTGAGATGTAAGTTCAAAGGTGAGTCGACTATTATCAAAGGCGGCAATCTGACTTTTGGACAATGATTGGTAAATCAGAAAAACGAATTATTGACTTTGTATTCCATTGGCAGTCACAAAACTCTTCGGAACGACATCTTAGATAAATAACAGGTTAACTATTAACCTTTATTTAATGCAGGTTTTGAACCGTATTCTTTGAATGAGACGATTATATTCAAATCAATCTGTATTGACATATCAATAAAAAACTTTTGTCCAAATGCACAGATTGCCACCTTTGATAATAGACGACTCAGGTCTCAGTATAGTTACAACGGCTGCCCCACCCTTCCAGTCGAAGCGCAGCGAAAGTCTATGAGCTAGTTCGCACTCAAACTCTTCGTCGTCGTTGGACGGGTTCGACGAGAACGTTGACCGGTGCTTGGAATGCCTAAAGCACCGAGAGTGGATCGGGTGGATCCGAAATCACGTGCTTAGGGAGACGGCGACCATTTGTCGTTCAATCTTCTGGACCGAGTATGTAGTCTGCGGCGACCACGAAAAAAGGGTTATCGTGTTACGTCGCTTTTTCGAAGAAGCTTTCCGACGTTATCTTCAGATACTTATTAATGGATACTAATTATAGGATGGCCACCGACGTTTTCCTCATCGTAGACGCGTCCTTACGAATCCACCCGATCCACTCTAATTATTATTAGACGCTGCTAAAACTATAGGAGCTAAAACTATAGGTAGGAGCAGGCGTAGCGCAAGTGATTGTACTTCTCGAATTTATTCGGCTTCGTCGAACCTAGCATCTGGGTTTCTTGTCGGATCATGTCACGGCTCTTGCGACGTAATCCAGTGGTAGAAGCACTCTCGTAGCAGCTGAACTTGAGCTGTTAAGTCCCCTCTGGGAGCGCTGGGGCAGATGTTAACAAACCTGCCCTTTTTTAACCGACTTCAATAAAAGGAGGAGGTTCCCAATTCGACCGGAAAAACCTCAGGAGTTTTTTCTGGTTTAACCGATTATTTTTTTTTTTTAGAAAGCTGGTAATACGCATATAATACTATTTCAATTTCATCAAGGTCTGACCAAGTAGTCTTTGAGTTATCCTAAACATAAAAAAAAATATTTGAAGTCGGTTTTATCATATTAGTTATTTTTTTTTTCGAAATAAAACCTCAAATACCATGGAGCCGTCGAAATGTTTCTATTAGAAATTAGATTGCGTTAATTTTATTGGAAACGTTGCCAAAACACATGCCCCTAATGATATAAAATTTATTACAAACTGATAGAGCAGACTCTGAGATAACAGAATTATGAACTACTTTTCTTATGACGCAAGCGAACGAGCGAACTGCGGAGCTTAACGTGCCTTTTACGATGTACATACAGGCACGTTTTTGCAAGACCGCGGTGTAACGCGCATGTCCGACACTCTAAGCTTACGGTGGTCAACAGTCAACACGAAACTCACCAGTCTCCGCCAAGCCTTCAATCGTGACACCCGTGTTCGTCACGATTGACAACAGTGTTTACAACACACAGACGTAAACATGACATAAAAGTCATCGGACGCGATAATTGACAACAAGATTATCAATAATATACTAGCTAAACAGATTATTTCATTAAAACTTTTACGCATTTTTTTTAATTCGTGTGCCACACACAATGCCTGCAGAACCGGAAACGAGAATTGTCCTTCGAGATGTTACCCCGGAAAGTATGTGAATTATAATTTAAATAATAAACTATTAATAAATAATATAATATAATAAATAATAATAATAATAACAACTAATATACTCTAGAGGCCCAAAAGAAAAAAAAATCTACAACATTATTATGAATCTTAAGAAATAGGCATTGTATTTAAAATGCGTTATGAAATTAATTAGAAATTAAAAATAAATTTATTGCAAAACATCATTATAATCACGTTTCGTTATTAAATGGAAATACGCAATATTTAAATGCCTAAATTTAGGAGAACAATAATGTTCTTGTTCGAAAAATGCAATCTAGTAACGCATATTTTGCATTACATTAAATATTATAGAGGCCAATGTCAGCGTATCATTCGCCGAACGCACTCAACAATTACTTTATAAGGTTGAGTCGTACGTAATTTTTATTACGTACTCTTCCCAAAAACAAAGACACGATATTATAGACTCACTGAGATCTGGCTACGGAAACGTCAAAAAATATAAGTTCATAATAAAATTCAATACAATCATTTTTTTTTTCTTTGTATCAATCTCTTATCTATATTGCTATCTTTTATACAATTTCTACAGTTATGAGTAAATAAATAGTTTAAGTTGAATTCCCTTTATAGGAAGATACATATTCTCTTAAAAAAACCTATAATGGGAGAAAACTTACAAAACTAAACTAAAATAAAGCTGTAAGTATTATTATTATTTAGAAAAAAATATTAACTACTTAAGTACAAGTAGTATATAGCGGCATTGCTGATGTCCCTAAGCGACAGTGACTACCTGCAGATGATTAAAAATAAAGAAAAGGACGGCAATCATGATTACAGTGATCACAGAACTATTCAAACATCAGAAATTGTTAAATCAACAATAAAAACATTCCATATCGGAAAAACTCAAAGGCTCACTTCCGCTAAAAGTACTTCTTTCTTGTTTGTATCCAATTAAAGTATGTATATTTTTTTTCATTGTTTAGAACAGGCTAATCAGTGCCTTGTTTTAGAAGTCGTGAAGTATCTCGAAGAGTCATTTTATAGAATTTGTTTCTCATCCCTAATCAATTGAGGTCAGAGGATATGATATGATAACAGTATTTCCGGCGATGTTAGATAAAATAGAGCTTCCTCCAATAATAAGCACTTCCCTGTCATCTACTTGCGGTCAACCCTTTTGTTTCCTACTTAGCTGGGAAGTTAGAAGTTATCCTTACTGTTGGTAACGGATGGTATAATCGCCTACGGATATGCACCACACCATTCTACTTATATCAACAACATTAAAAATATATGTAGTTTAAAAACTAAGAAAACATGATAACTAACTGAAGTAGAAATTTACTTCAATTATTTAATATGTTTCTTTTTAAACTGGTCAGTATATTAGATCGAAGTTCTAAATAATTTTCTAATTTCATTTTCTATTATCATCGGTACTTGATGTGTGTGCAAATTTTCAAGTTAATCGAACGTTTTGAAGAAGTTTGAAAATGACGTTCAAAGAATAAGTTACATACATACAAACATACATACTTAACAAAGTACTAAAAACGTGTTAAAATATCTACACGCTTCGATTTGAAGGGGAGGACAATCGTTATACTCCTACAATTCAATTGAGACTTCGAATTAATGTCTCAAGGTGAGTGACAGCGTTCACGTTGTGATGTCTATGGACTCCGGAAAGCTTGTTACCAGCCGCCTCAGAGCTTTTTCACCTTTTTTCTTTTAAAGTTATGCCTTAGAGTGGGCGAAGATATTCATGCTCTAATTTCCATGAGCTCCAATTGCTGCTACCTCACATTGTCTTGTCATAAAAAACAGACCTATTTTAATCACAGATCGATAAGGCAATTATTTTACTCGTATTGTTACAACTTCCAATTGAAATTTTTTTAAGGGATTTTCTGGCCTGATAACTAAGACTTTTAGGTCAAGTCTTATTTTAATTTTAATGAAAACTTTTTTATTTGAAAAATGATATTATGAAATGAAATGAAGTTGATTAATATAAAACATGGCATGAAATGAAATGAAATAAGACGAGATGAGATGATATGGGATAAAATATAATCTCAGTAAAATGGTGGTCTGAGACTTTTTCAGTGGACTTTTTGGAGGATCCGAGAAGTTACGTTCAGCGGCTTTAATTTTCCCACATTTGTGCACTTTCACAGATACTAAACAGTCAATAAACCACCGTTATTACACATTTAAATCTAAAGAAACACTAAATAGACAAAATAAAACAAATCACACAGCTTCACTCCTCGCGTTCCCGCCAAAAAAAGTCCCAATTGTAAATTAAACCCGAACGTCGCGGTCGCTGTTCTTGATTGAATACTAAAAACGTTATCGAAGAAGCTATTTATTGAAAATGACAAATTAATGCTCGCTTTATACTTTTATTAGACACAATAAAACATAAAATAATGTGATCTAGAAGCTACCATTATAATTGTTTTCTGATATCCGCGTAATGTGTTACTGGCATTGCGTGATGACGCTGGGAAGACGCAGCCTACTGGGGCAACATTGCATTTTCACTAAATTTTAACTAGGCTATTCAGGAACAAATAATGGAATAAAATTTTCCATACAAAACTTATCTAATACCTAGCTTATTAATTATTATCAAAAAGGCTGGTGCCAATTTTCTTAGATAATTTACATTAAGATGCTCTTTACATTTAACTTTCTCGTTGGAAGAATTAATAAATAATTCGAACTCATGCTTCATATGACATTCAAGCTTAAGGTGCTCATAAGTTATTTCACAAGAACCCAGAACCAGTAATTTAACATGGAAAATTGTTTTTAAAAGTATTTTTAATAACTTATTGAATAACCTTGACACAACCGAATAGTTATTTTGAAAGTAAAGTTTAACTTTCTGAATCGCAAAGGAATCCTAAACGTATCACGTAAAAAAATCGCGGTGTTGGAAATATTATATTACAATAGATGTATGTGCTTTGATAATAAAAAAAAATCTCTTCATATATCTGTATCTTCATTTTTAGCTTCACTGATTCATTAACCACAGTCTTCAATTGAAGACGTGTTTTTCATTATTATTATTCGATAATTTGTATCTCGACATTAACTACAAAAATATTGAAATTATTATTTTTCAAATTTCAAGAATCTTATAAACAGCGGTCATTTCTTACGAGTTAAGATCGGCGAGAGCATTCGCGTTGATCACTCTACATTACTCGGTGATAAAGTCATAACGATTCAAAATCGCCCATAAAGGCCTAACAGATAGAAATCTATTTTATTTTCTTCGCTTAATAATTAAAATTATTGAACGTTTACTTGATAGTCGAGTTCGATTTTATTATAATAGAAATGAGCAAGCCTGGCAAATCTGATAGCAGAAGGCTCGATTGTAATACTAATAATAACCTCTGCCTTTCAAACGAGAATCCATAAGCGCTTTACGCCAAAAAATAATTGGAACAAACACAAAGGCATTCCAACACCACGGTATGTATACGGCGACAGTATGCCTATTAGAATTATTTAAAATACACGGCTCGTTTTTAAATGAATACAAAGCATGTAATTATGTTACACATAATGAGTTCATAAAGATTAGGTAATTTGAACCGTCAGAAAAACTTCAGATAATAATCTCGAATTCATTTATTGTTTTAGTTGCGTATAAAAATAGCACTAGATGATGACCGAGCTTTGCTCGTTTTTTTTTTTTTTGATAACGCCATCTTTTTTTGTCTTTATAGCGGTTAGTTGCCCTCAATTAAGAAAAATAGTATTATTATTCGCCAATAGATGTCGGGAAGAGTTGATTATTGAAAACACGAATAAAACAACATTTTCTGAAAATAAATCGTAGCTAGATCGATTTATCGGCCCCGAAATCCCATGTACCTTTACTAAATTTTATGAAAATCGTTAGAGCCGTTTCCGAGATTCAGATTATACATATATTAATATACTAGCGACCCGCCCTCGCTTCGCTTCGGAAACTGTAATTTATTATTGATTTCTCCACTATTTAATGGATGTTATTATACATATAAACTATCTATTAAAAAAACCGCATCAAAATCCGTTGCGTAGTTTTAAAGATCTAAGCATACATAGGGATATAGGGACAGAGAAAGCGACTTTGTTTTATACTATGTAGTGATGCCAGTAAAAATTCCACAGATCTAATACGGTAACTTTTTTTAAAAGACTATTATATAAAAGACACCGGATAGGAACGAAGCTCCTTATTATAAAAATATTAATTTTAAGTTCTATTCGAGGTATAAAGAAAATAATTATTCGGGTATATTTTTTATTTTGTATTTTTGATTGATAGCGGCCCGCTCCGGCTTCGCTCGGGCCTTTATCAAAATTTTCAAAAAAAAATATTATAATACACACACGTTATCCCTTATATTTGCGTCAGGTCTCTAAAAATAGAAAATTATAAAGATAGTTTGAATATGATTTTTTTAATAAACTTTTTTATTCGTTTAAATAATATTTGTTTTTATCTATTTTTATATTATTATTTTTCTAGTTTTCGTAAAAAGGTCATACATACAAAACAAAAGCCATTGAGTTTATTGAGTCAGTGCTTCCTTGTACTGGCTGAGCCCTTGCTTTGTCTGAGCCCTTGCTCGCCCACCTGTCCTTGTGAAACTGGAAAGGCCTCCGGGGCACCAGTAAACCCACAATTATGAAAAAGCTACCCTGTGAACGATATTTGACGTTGTTTATTATTTTTTAAATAAATTAACACTTATTGTGGCATAGCTATAATAGTCGGACATATGCTGTCGCCACATTTTTTGTAAATAATAATGTGTTCTACATAGTTATAGTACATTATTTTATTCTATCATCAATAGTTTTCGCAGCGCACGCGATGTAAAGAATACTTTAGGAAATTTTTTACACCTTGCGTTACATTACTGGAGTTTTAGTAAGGATCCCTAACTTTTTTCAAAAAATATTATAGCCTATGTCACTCGGAAATACTG